ATACAGTGACAGATGAGACGAAATGAACAAGCTCAGATTCTATACGCAGTGGTAATTTCTCCTAATATCAGTTGGATATATGTTGAGGCAAGTGAAAGACCAGTTAACAGCTTTAATTAAAGTAGTATTATTTATACTACGTATATTACTGCTCTTTTCTAAATTGGTCTATGAGATTCAGTCTCATAGACAACCAGAGTACGGGGTACTTACAGGGTGGCTCACGAAATGATACCCGACTGAAAGTTTAAATAAAGGATTTAATATTCATATTATTTTATTATTTAGTGTTCTGTCTGACGACAGGTCCATATGAACAGGATCCTTCCATCCTTTTCTTGGACTGGGACCTGTTCATATACGTTCTTGGCAGATGATCCAGTTGCCTAGACCACGGCCTTGCCCAACACAAGTTATAAATTCGGGCACCGCCGGGAATCGAACCCGAGACCCCAGGATTACAAGGCCAGTGTTCTAACCGCTAGACCACCGTGGCTATAATATTCATATAATGGGACATATATATCTATGAACACAAAGAATAATTCATGGAGATTTATCCTTTATGGATTACATGCTTAATATGAGCACCGTTCTGTCGTGCAACTTCTGAAACACGAACGGCTACATTCGTGATTACTCGACGGCACATGTCCTCCGTAATATCACCATACATTTAAACAATCAAAGCCCTGAGTTGCATGATTGAGGCTGGGTTTTTTTTGATAGAGTTTTACACAAAGGAAAAAGTCGCAGGGGTTTATGTCCGGACTATTGGGTGGCCAGTTCTGTCCACATCCGTGGCGAGCAGAATATCGGTGGGAAATCACACGTGGACCGAAAGTGTCGTGCAGGAAGTCCAAGACAACGTTTGCTGTGTGTGGTGTAGCCCAATCTTGCACAAACCACTGTGTATTTAACGGCAAACCGGGCTTCTTTGTATGGCTACTCTGACAGCTTCAATGTTCTGTGGGCTACGCACACTTGCGGCACGTCCACGTCTCTTTTCTAACACTGTACCATCCTGTTGAAACTGCTGATGAAGTCTGAATAGTTTTTGGAGCAGGCGCCCACCGCGTACCAAAATTGGCATGAAACCGTCTCTGCGTTTCCACAACACTTTTTGTTTCCGCAAAAAATAAAACTGAACCGTAAGTCTTCCCTTGTCTGCCATCTTCTGCATACTGGCGGGAAACCGCGACATAATCACCTCGCGTTAGCTAGGTGATGCATATACCACCTAATGGTATCTCCATGAACTACTGCACTTACCCACATGACCGAAAACTTCATCCGTAACGTGGTTGCTGATTTATCGTTAAAACAAATAGGGCATCATATCGTGCGCCACCCTGTATATACTAAATACCGATTTCATTAAATAAATACAAACAGATCTTGTACTAATTCATCTCACATACCCGTTAATAAATCTTTCTCTAAGGATAGCAACTTTTCTGACAAAATTATGTATGCTTCACCTGAAACATGAAGTTACATTTAGACGTTCTCGAGCAGAAGTCACAGATAATCAATTTCTTTCTACAGTACTATCTTAGTACTTCCGTACATGGTTCTTCTAATACCCTGGAATAATAGAATGTCGTAGAATGTAATCTAGTGGAAGTGGGTGGAACACGTCCGGGATATTTCTTGGGGTCGTCTTGACATTAAATGGTAATAGGCTATTCTTTGAAGACGAGAACAGCCTGCAGTTACCCTAACTTCTGCTAACGGAATGTCAGAGAAAATAGAATATTACTGAAACGAGGGTAACAAACGACGGCGACAGCGCCCTAGTAGTCTCAAAAACACGAAAATCAAACCTTCAAGAGAATATCGCTCCAGAATGCTAACCATGAGATATATGAGTCAACTATTTAATTAGATAACTCACAATCAGTACCGAGGACTGAATGTAGCCTATCATAATAGTATCAAAACCTGTAAAAATACATCTTTTAAAAATAAACTTTATCTCTTTGGGCGCCACTAGCAGTGCTAGCAGTGTTTTTCATTTCTAGTCGTCTTTTCTTGTATAAACTATTGAGATGTAAATAAATTCAACTCTTTGAATACATTTAGCTTCCTGCTACGTCTTTTGCTTGTTATTTTTAAAGCACCTTTCATTTTAATCTTCTACTCATAAATCAATTTTATAATAAGTACAACTG